GGCCGAGCCAGCGGCCGACCGCCCAGCCACAGCAGGTCGGCGGTCCGGCCAGACCGGAAACTGATTGGTTCAGACCGGTTTAAGTCACACATTAATGTTTAATGTCCCGGTTCATATTTATGTCCAATTTTCAGTTAAATTTTGGGTCCGGTCCAGTCCAGTAAATTCATGTCAGTCCAGTTCTATGTTAAGTCGGTTCCGGTTATACCGGCTAAATCCAAATATCATGTCAAGTTCCAGTAGAGCATCTTAACACATTGAACAACTATTTTAATCAGCCTGAGCATAGTATTTAGTAATTGTTTATATTATGTTTCAGTTTGATCAGGCTACTGTTATCAGCACTACATTTTCATATCGACGGATCAGGTGGGGACTCAGACTGATATTACATTGATTGTAATTACGGTACCATGTTTTAGGTGTGTATCATGTCAAGCTATTCTATGTATCCATTTGGAATGGTCGCCGGTCCATTCTGGGTTCTAGTGGCCTAGTCTGCCCACTAGAGTGTGCACATGGTGTCCGACATTTTATGGTGGCAGATGAGGCAACGGTTATGAGGCAATGGTTCATGTTATGGCAATGGTTTACCGGTATCATGCTATGTTACGTTATGTTCATGTATATATCAGGATCATGATATGGCAATTATTTTCACTGTTTACTTTAGTATGAGTTCCTACGGAGCACAGTGGACTTTAGTGCTCACGCCCCATGTTATCTATGTTTTTCAGGTCACAGGGTCGGAGCCGAGGAGTGAGCTGGCGGCTGGTTCAGGATTTTGTTTCTATGTTTGAATTTGGCATAGCAGTGCTGTTACTATCTCCCGTAGTGGAGTTTAAAATGTTTTGCCACGCTACGTTTTCCGCTGATTTTGACTGTTTGCCAAACTTAGCCTTTTGATCTGATTACTAGTCGGGTGGTTATATTATGATAAACCATTTTCTTTAAAAATTAAAATAACGGTTTTCCAGGTTATGTTATTGTTATGGTAGCACTCTGAATCATGATTTCGCAAACTAATCAGTAATTTTTATTAAAAGGTGTTGCGAAAATTTAACTCTGATATTTATGACATAGCGGGGTGTTACAGTTGGTATCAGAAATTTTTTACGTCTCTGAAAATTTTTACGAGTCAGAAATTTTTCAAAAACCTGAACACGTCACTCTCACGCCTCGCCGACTACAGGTATGTGCTGATTCATGTTTTAAATTATAAATAAATTACTATGTCTATGCTTAGAAAAACCACAGTTATGACTTAGTTAAGATGCTCGAATCATGTTCAGGATTCATAGTTCAGTATATCCCTGATTAATGTCAATATTTCCCAGCCATGTTAAGCAACTCGTCAAGAGATTTGTGCGCTTTGTTAATCAGCTAAAGTATTTTCCATGTGTCCGATAATGTTGAATCTTTCCAATGTTCAGATGCTGCCACGTAGGGAACCAGATCATTCTGCGGTTCCCCAGGCCACTATAGTCGCTCAGTTTCGTCACTATCATCCCAAGAATTTCTCTGGCCAGGGAGATCCTCGAGTAGTTGACGAATGGGTCCAGGGCCTTGAAATAATTTTCGAGGTCATGGACTGCCCCGACCGCTATCATGTTCTTTGCGCACAGATCCAATTGACGGGTGACGCGCGTCTCTGGTGGAACGCCTACTGGGGAATGCGTCCAGGAGAAAAGGAAGGTTGTACGTGGGACAGGTTCAAGGAGCTTATTTGAGAGAAATATTATCCCGCGTACTATCGAGCCGAAATGGAGCGTCAGCTTTTGTCACTCCAACAGGGTACTCGTACCGTGGACGAGTACGAGCGAGAGTTCACTAGACTCGGAGCCTTTGTTCCCGATCTGGTGAGCGATGAGGCAAAGAGGTCGGGACGTTTCACTGACGGGCTTCTGCCAGTAGTCCGTCACAACATTGTAGGTCACGACACTCAGAACTATGCCCGTACTGTTACCATAGCCCAGGAAGTCGATGCCAGCATCCGGAGGAAAGCCAACCAGGGTCGCCTTCAGACATCTGCCCCTGCCCAATCACTTGCAGTACCACCTGTTCAACCTGATGCTGCCCAACAACCGAAGGACAGG